TGCCACCTGCCCGCGACTGCCACGACTGCGCGACCTCACCTGCGCGACCCTGCCCACCTGCCCCGCCTGCCACGACCTGCCGCGACCTGCCCACGACCGCCCGCCTGCGCGACCTGGCAACCTGCCCGACTCTGCCCGGACTGCCCGCCTGCCGCTGCCCGTGTCTGCCCGGCGCCGCCAGGAGGACAGGCGGCAGCAGGGTCCCTGCTCCCTTCCGCGAGGGCCGGGACGCAGGGGTGGCGCTGATGCGGCTTCCCCTCTCGCCGCTCCGCGCCAACCCGACCCCAACTCCCGGTGGGGGAGGGCTGCCCACCCCGCCCCGCCAGCGCCTCCACTGTCGCCAGAGCCCCCCCGGCTTCGTTTGAGGGGAGTTCTTTCCCTTTTCTCTTAGTTTTATTCACCAGTCTCGCCCTGTGCCCACCGGTTGGAGCGCGGAGGCGTCAGCCTCGCTCACAGCAGCCTCCGACTCGGTCAACGAGCCTTCGCTCGGCCTCCCTCACCGAGTAAGTGACTCAGGTGTGCGCCACCACGCGGCTCTTTTTTTTTTTTTGTTAATTGTAGTTCCAGTCATTTCTTCCTAATTTGTTTTAGTAGAGACGGGGTCTCGTCATTTTTTTTTTTTCTTGCTCAGGCTGGCTCGACCCTCCTGACCTCCGAGTGATCCTCCCGCCTCGGCCTCCCCGGAGTGCGTCGTGCGTAGGCCCGCGCCTGGCATCTTCGCTTCTGACGGAAGGCGTCACCTCGGAAGCCCAGCCGCCGCGCCCTCCGCCCCCACCACCGGCCGCGCCCCCGCACCTCTGCTCTCCGTCTCCACCACTGGAAACATCTCCACGTCCGCCGCAGCTTTCACGCCGGCAGTTGCACGCCGTTAGTTCGGTCCGACAGGAGCTGCCGAGAGAGCCGCGCCAATCTCAGCGAAGCCGCGGCGGCGGCCGGTCCGCCGGCTCGGAGCGGAGGGGACAGGCGCAGGCGCAGCGGGGCGGGAGGCGTTCCGCGGCAGACGCGGCAACCGCGGTCCCGGTCACCATAACCGGAACGCCCGCCGGCAGGGGGGCTCCCGCTTGCGTCCGGACACTCTGGGAGGCGAGGCGGGAGGATGGCTTCGAGGCCAGGAGGTCAAGGCCAGCTGAGCAAGAGCGAGACCGTTCTACTAAAGTACAGAAGAAATTACTGGCCAATATATATAGAAAAACGAGCCGGGCGTGGTGGCGCATGCCTGCGTCCCAGCTTACTCGGGAGGGAGCGAGGCAGGAGGCTCGCCTGACGCCAGCAGTTGGAGGCTGCTGTGAGCGAGGCTGAAGCAAGGGCCTCCAGCCCGGGCGACAGAGCGAGACTCCGCCTCAAAAAGAAACGCACCGCGCGGCGACCCCGCGGGCGGCGGCGCTGGCTCCGTGCGAGAGCGAGCCAGCGTGGGTCCGCAGCTCCGCGCCCGCCACTCGGGAGTCGCGCCGGGAGAGGCGCCGTCAGCGCCCTAATGTCCCGGACACAAGCCGGCCCCTGTCCCCGCATAGGTTAGAGAACCAAGACCCCCCCGCCCGTCCCTGTCCCCGTGTAGGGCGAGGACCCGACATCCCGCCCGCCCGTCTGTCCCGTGTAGGGCGAGAACCCGACCCGCACGCCGTCTGTCCGCGTAGGGCGAGGACGACCCGCGCCCGCCCTGTCCTAGGGCGAGGCCGACACCGCCGCCGCCTGTCCCGTAGGGCGAGACCCGAACCCGCCCGCCGCGTCCCCAAGCGTAGGCGAGGACCGACACCAGCCCCCGCCCGTCCTGTCCCGTTGGGGCGAGACCCGACCCGCCCCGCTGTCCGCGTGGGGCGAGGACCCGACACCCAGCCTGGCTCCGCCCTGTCCCGTGTAGGGTGAGGCCGACACCGCCCTGCCTGTCACGTAGGGCCGAGGACCGACACCCGCCCCGCCCTGTCCCGCGTAGGGCGAGGACCGACACCGCAGCCGCCCTGTCCCGCGTAGGGCGTAGGACCCGAACACCCCCCGTCCTTCCCGCGTAGGCGAGGACCGACACGCCCCAGCCCGCGCCTGTCCCCGCGTAGGGCGAGGCCCCCACCCGCCCGCCGCCCCTGTCCCGTAGGGCGAGGACCCGCACCGCCCGCCTGTCCCCGCTGTAGGGCGAGGGACCCGCCACCCGCCACCCGCCCGCCCGCCTACCTTGGAGGTGCGCAGCGCGCCGACCAGGTGCACCAGCCGGCCCTCGTTCTCGGGGGCCACGGCGTGGATGCTGTCGGGGGACACGACGAGCGACAGCCCTTCCGCCAGCGAGGTGGCCGTCTTCAGCGCGCGGCCCTGCGGGCACAGGGGGGGGACCGCCGCCAGGGCTGCGTGCTGTGTCGGGCCCACCGGCTCGGCCCTGAGACCGTTCCCCGTTTCACCTCGGGAAACTGAGGCCTCGCAGGGTGGGCGGGGCTGGGACCTCCGACTCTCTCCCCGCGGCTCCTCCCGCCCCAGCTGGGAATAGCCCCGCCCCAGCTGGGAAGCCATGCCACTCTCCTGCTCTGGCCAGCTCTGGTCGAATCCCAGACTCCGCCTCCGCCTCGCCGCAGGCACACGACCCCTGCGCCCGCCAGGCACACCTGTGCCCTGCGCCCGGCCAGGCCACACCCGACACGACCTGCGCCCCGCAGCCCCGACCACTGCGCCCCGCCAGGCGGTTTAAGAAGGCCGCGGGGCTGTGGCTGTCCTGCCCATCGCTAGGCCGTCCGCGAGCCACCCGTGGGGGACCGCCGGGAAAAACCGCAGAGAGGCCCGGGCCCGCACTGTCGTCCAGCCCTCTGGGAGCCGAGGCGGGAGGATCGCATCGAGCCAGCGAGTTCAAAAACAGCCCAGCAAGAGCGGACCCGTCTCTATAAAATAGAAAGAAATAGTGACAATAAAAATACACAGAAAAACGAGCCGGGCGTGGTGGCGCGTGACTGTAGTCCAGCTCCTCGGGAGACTGCGGCTGGAGGCTCGCTGAGAGCCTGAGTCGGAAGGCTCTGATGACGAGGCCCGCCGCCGACGGCGCTCTACCCCAGGTGACAGACGAGGTCTGTCTCAAAAAAAAATAAATAAATGAAAAAGAGAAACGCCGCAGACAGAAAGCAGGCGAGAGAGGAAGAAATCGGAGATTTCCGCGACCGGGCGTGAGCACCTGGATCGAGCCGTGCTGAATTCACCGTCCCGTCCCTAATGTCCCGCGGACCTAAAGATCAACGCACGTCTCCGTGACGCCCGCCGGCGGCTCACCTCGTTGGTGAAGATGACGTAGAAGGACAGCAGGAAGGTGGCCAGCCCCACCAGCATGCCGCCCGACGTCTCGCCCAGCCGCTCCAGGAAGCCGGCGCGGGCTGGCCGCCCTTGTGATGCTCCCTGCGGGTGTGCTGGAGTACTGCGGACAGAAAACACGACGGCAACGTCCGGGGTGCGCACGACCGAGACGGGGAAAAAGGACAAACGGAGGGACATCGGTGCGCGAGCCCTGCGCCGGCGGTAGGAGAAAGTCGGGGTCCAGAACACGGAGGACAGAACGACAACGTGGGAAAGTCGGTGCGCAGGACCAGGGGACAAAGGCAACGAGACATCGGCTGCGAGACAGCATGGGACAAAGGACACGGGACGGAAAGTCGTGGATGCGCATGGAGCACGGGACAGAGACACGGTGGCGCTTCGGTGCGCACGAAGAAGCACCGGGACAAAAGGACAACGGAGGGAGTCGGGTGCGCCACGTGCACCGGGGACAAAAGGACACGGTGGAGTCGGGGTGCGGACAGAGCACTGGCGGGACAGAAACGACAACGGTGGAAAGTCGGGGTGCGCAGGAGCACCGGGACACAAAGGACAAACGGTGGGAAAGTCGGGGTGGGACAGAGCACTGGGGACAGAACGCAAGGTGGAAGTCGGGGTGCGCACGAGGCACCGGGAACAGAACGCCACCCGGACGGAGAGTCCGGGTGCGGGCTCCGTGGAGAAATGCCGCCGACGCCCCGCGCCATTTCCATTCAGGCGAGAGGAGCGCAATTCCCAACGCGCGGCGTGCCGGGTTTCGCCGCTCGGGCTCCCCGCGCGGGCCGCAGCCAGAGCGGGACGAGGACCCACGGTCTGTCACCCCAAAGTCTCCTGCCCGCGCCTCCTCCCGTCCTCCGCGCCCGCGTCTCCCAAAACGGGACGGGCCCGTTCATTTCTCCCGAGACGCCCGCGGGGCAAGGCGTTCGGGGACGCGTCGTGTTTTCTCAAGCGCCCGACCGGCCGTCTCATGGACGCGCCAACCCGGCGAGGCCGGGCTCCCCGGGACGCTCCCCCGCTCTGCGGACCGGACCCCGCCCGGCCGTCCTGACTCTGTTTCCCCGGTAGAGCCTTCCTAGAACCGACTCGCCCCTCATGCCCCGTCCTAGAGGCTGCGTAACATGGCGCGTGTCCACCAGGCCTGCGTAACCATGGCGCGTGTCACCCGAGGCTGCGTAACCATGGCGCCCGTCGCTAGGCTGCGTAACATGCGCGTGGTCCGCTAGGCTTGCGAACCATGCGCGTGTCGCCAGGCCCTGCGTAACCATGGCCGACCGTCGCTAGCCTGCGTAACCATGCGCCCGTCGCTAGGGCTGCGTACCATGTGGCCGCCGTCGCTAGCTGCGTAACCATGGCGCGGTGCGCTAGGCTTGCTAACCATGGCGCCCGTCGCCAGGCTGCGTAACCATGGCGCCCGTCGCCAGGCCTGCGAACCATGGCGCCCGTCGCCAGGCCCTGGCGTAACCATCGCGCCCGTCGCTAGGGCCTGCGTAACCATGCGCCGTCGCTAGGCTGCGTAACCATGGCGCCGTCCGCCAGGCGCGTTCCCGGCGGGCTCGACGCGGACCGCCGGGCGTCGGCTGGTCTTGGACCCGCCCCGCCCGTCTGACTGGCGAGGACGTCGGAGCGCGGACCCCTCCCCGTCTCCGTCCTGCTTTCCTTTGGGACAGAGTCTCGCCTGTCGCCCGGCTGAGTGGAAGTGCCCCTGGTCGGCCTCGCTTCACGGCGCCTCCAGCGAGCTCCCGCCTCGCTCCCTCCGAGTAAGCTGGGACACGGCCGCGCCACGCCCGCTGACTTTTTCTGTAATAATAGTGGCCAATCATTTCTTTCCTCTTTTTAGTCGAGGCGGGTCTCGCTTTTTGGCCCGGCCGGCTCCAGAGATCCTCCTCCTCAGCCTCCTCCCGAGTAGCTGGGACGACAGGCACGCGCCCACGCCCGCCGTTTTTTTTTTATATATAATATATATTTTACTCTGACCACTCATGTCTTTCTATTTTTGGTAAGAACGGGTCCTCGCTCTGCTCAGGCTGGCTCCAACTCTGCGCCGAGCGATCCTCCCGCCCCACGGCCTCCAGAGCGCGGCAAGGCAGGCGAAGCCCCGCAGAGACACGGGTGTAATCGGACGTCTGGGGACGACGCGGGACGAGGCGCGAGCGGGCGGGAGGGACGCGCACTGGGGCGGCCCCGGCGGGGTCTGGCGGGGAGGCGCGTCAGTCCGGGGCTCCGCGGGCCGGCAGGGAGGGCGGACGCCGCGGCCCCGCCGGGAACCAGCTGCGCTCGGGCCTGGCCCCTGCAGGTCGCGGGAACCAGCTGCGCTCGGGCCTGTCCGGGCCTGTCCCCTGCAGGTCGCGAGGCCCCGCGGGCAGAGTGGGACGAGAACCGGCAGGGCCGGGTGTGGCCGCCGCCCGCGCCGTGCTGGGCGAGGATCCAGGACCCAGCGGTAAGATGCCGGGACTGACGCTGGCGGGCGCCCCGCCAGGCGGGTGACAGGGGACTGGGTGCGGCCCCGCAAGGTGGGTGACAGGGGACTCCACGGCCCCGCCAGGTGGGTGACAGGGGACTCCATGGCCCCGCCAGGTGGGTGACAGGGGACTGGGTGCGGCCCCGCCAGGTGGGTGACAGGGGACTCCACGGCCCCGCCAGGTGGGTGACAGGGGACTGGGTGCGGCCCCGCCAGGTGGGTGACAGGGGACTGGGTGCGGCCCCACCAGGTGAGTGACAGGGGACTCCCCGGCCCCGCCAGGTGGGTGACAGGGGACTCCACGCCCCGCCAGGTGGGTGACAGGGGACTCCACGGCCCCGCCAGGTGGGTGACAGGGGACTCCCCGGCCCCGCCAGGTGGGTGACAGGGGACTGGGTGCAGCCCGCCAGGTGGGTGACAGGGGACTCCCCGGCCCCGCCAGGCGGGTGACAGGGGACTGGGTGCGGCCCGCCAGGTGGGTGACAGGGGACTCCACGGCCCCGCCAGGTGGGTGACAGGGGACTCCACGGCCCCGCCAGG